CAATACAGTACCATGCAACTATAACCTGTTAGTTAATAAATATCATTTCACACACTATCATTCTTAATTTGAATTCAGGTAAGTACAATTTCAAGTTACTTAATCTCTACTCTCACTGTAAAATATATATAAAATCTCACACTTCAGTGAGATTGGGTGGTTGTTATAGTTGCTATTTTAACTTTTTATAATTATGTAATTCTGTATTTTATATTCTTATCTGCCTTTTATTGTAAATTTTAACTTTTGGATATATTTATATATATTTATTATTGTTTGTTAATACAGGTAAGTGTCCCCCTTGGCAGAAGAGAAAATTTGTACAGCAATTAAGTTTGCTTTTGTTTAATCCTGTCTCTGTCAGGGGTGTTTTGTTTTTGTTTTTGTTGTACATGATTTTAAAATTAGACAAAATATATGAAATGTCTGATCCATTTCAGTCTCATACAAGCCCGTAGCCAGGATTTTGACAAGGGGGGTGGGGTTCTTTTTGATACTGACAGGGCACTTGCGAGTGAAGCAAGCACCATTGGCTGGGGGCCAGGGGGTGAAGCCCCTGAAGCTCCAGCATTCTAGACATTTACAGGTGTTATTTAATTGATTTCAGAGGCCATCATTAAAAAAATGTATATATTAAAGTAAGTAATTTGAGTTAGGCAAAGATAATAAACAAAAAAAAAAAACAACTACTACTTTTAGTGCTACAGTACTGGTAATTTAGCCTACAGTAGCATAATACAAACTCCAAAGAAACCAGTATGGTTTATTCTTTATTTTTTGTTCTTTTTAAGAAATAAGAAGTACTGTATGGCTTATATAGCACTTTTGAAATTGTATCATACTGTACTCACTCAAGACAATCAGTAACATAAAAAGAACCAAGACAAATTTGTATGGTTGCTTGTAGTGTATTATTGTCCCGATTATTATTATATACAGTATACAGGTGAAAATATCCCCCGCCGGACACCATCCCGATATTTCTGAGTCAAGGTTTCGGGGCCTTAATGGTCATACTGCAGAATAAAATATTGCATCCATAGTAAATATAATATATAATATTATGAATTACTAGTATGGTTGATTGTAGTGTATTATTGTGTTATATACTGTATACAGACGCAGTGTCGGCAAAGCAGAAGCACATCGCAGGGTGTCGGGTGGCGGGGATCGTTTGTGTGAAATCCAGGGAATTCTGTGTATATTACGGTATTTTTAAGGTCTCATTATAGCAATCGACACAGTAGACCATTCTATATTATTAAGAAACTAAAACTTTATGGTGTAAGTAAATATACTCTTGATTGGTTCAAAAGCTATTTCAGTAATCGTGTTCAAATGATGTGTATTGATGGGGCTCTATCAAACACTAAAAAGGTTCAATGTGGAATACCACAAGGTTCTATTATTGGTCCTCTTGCATTTCTTATGCTATGACCTCCCAAATATTGTATCACAGTGTAAAGTTAGCATATATGCTCAATCAATGACACCAACGAATGTATTAATAGTGATTTAGAATCTGTATACAAGTGGCTCTCATGCAAAAAACTTAGCTTAAATATTGAATAATTATTTTTATGTTAATTGGCTCAAGACAACGGCTAGCAAGTAAAAAAGATGATGATAGGCCTATAACTGTTCAAATTGATGGAAGAAAATTTTCAAATGTAAAATCATGAAGCATCTTTGAGTCATTATAGATGAAAATTTGTCTTGGAATGCCAATGTTGAAAATATTTGGAAAAAAGCTTTGAAAGGCTTATATATGTTAAAAAGATCCAAACCATACCTTTCACAATCTATATTAAAATGGTTTCTAATGCTATAATAATCCCTCACCTTATTGTAACATTGTGTGGGGAAACTGTGGCTCAACTGTTGCCAAACAACTACAAACAATCCAAAACAGAACAGCTCGTGTTGTTTGTGGAGCAGCCTGGGACTCACCTAGTACAAATGTACTTTGTAAATTAAATTGGCTTCCAATTTCAAGTAATATATTAATGATTGTAATATTCTTGTTTATAAAATTTTAAATAATATGGCACCATCTTACTTAACATACTTGTTCTCTTTCAATGATTACAGCTATGACTTTTGTAAAAGTAAAACAAATGTATATGTTCCCAAAGACTAATTACAAAAAAAAAGAAGATCTCATATCGTGGTGATATTGAATGGAATAAATTAAGCCCAGTCTTCTACCAATTTAACTATTTTCAAAAACCACATTTGTACTAATAATAATGAAACCAAAGTTTAATATTTTGATGTTTTCTTGCCGCCTTTTATTTATATTTTACATTCCGTTTTGTAATTTACAGTTTACTTTTGTCGAATGGATTTTCTTCTTTTCCATAGTTTATTTTGCCTATGTTAGGTATAGATTACAGTTACTTTTATTTTACTAAATTGTTGACTTTTACATTCTGTACAGTTTAATATTTTTATTTTTTATCTATTTTATTTAATTTTTGCATTTTTTTGCTTTTTATGATGTACCTTTATGTGTGATAATTGTATAAGGTATCTCACGGCCATAATGAAAAACAGCATTGTATTTGTTGATTTGTGCTTCGTGAATACATAAAGTTTTACTACTGCTCTCTAGCATGCTGGTGGCCAACGGTCGTATCGGGACAATCAGCGATAGGCTCTGCTGCTGCTTTGCCCTGTCCCTGTACTGGGCGGGTAGGCCTACACGGTCGTACTGATTAAATAATAATGTTGTAACAGTTGAAAATACACAATTTTTATTTATTTTTCTATGTTACTAGGTAGACTTAACAATCAGGTAGTATAAGTAGGACTTGTTTTTAATGATGATAGGCTCTAGGCTCTGTCTCTTATACACATCTAGATGTGTATAAGAGACAGATATATATGTATATGTATATATATATTCATATATATATATTCATATATATATAATGTGTATGTATATATATGTATATATATATATGAATATGTATATATATTCTTCTATATATAATCTACATTTCAATAACTATTCTTAAAATTAACGTCAGCTATGACTTCATCTTAATCTTACAACCTCATCTAATATTCATATGTACGCAGACGGATTTTTCAAGTGATCCTAGGGTAAGGTGCTGGCATAAAAATGGGTCATGGGGCAAAGTGAATTTTTTTATTTAACACTTTTGGCCGCACCCAAACTTTGATGTTTGGGTTTGCTTCCAAAAATGTTCATGCACTAAATTTCATACAACTTTATGCTCAGTTTTCATATTACAAATGATTGGCGAATTGATTGGCCGAGTGGTTAAGTCAGGGGCACCGTAACCTTCAGCTGTAATATTGACGCTGGTTCGAACGGCCCCCTCGCCAGTGGTTCCGATGGTGGAACAAGTCTTCTCGGATAAGGACTTTAAACCGTAAGCCCAGTGTACGCATTTGGCTTGTGTACACTTTAGAAAACCCAGTACATCATTCGTTAAGAGTAGGGGGTTACCCTGGTGTACTGGTCCATTAAGTCCCCCATTGTTAAATGGATATGCCACGTAGGACAGTGATTAGGTTCACTTATTGGCATCGTGGCGTGCCTAAGGAAATGAAATGAAATTGGTGTTGGGATGTTTTCTAGCCAAAGATGGTTTGCAGGTTGTACACATGGGTTTTGTTTTTGTTTTTGCAGGAAACAGCAAAATCAGCTAAATTTTAAAGTCAACATGTTTACATTGTCACATTGTGGTGAAACATATTTTAATAATATTTCTTTCATTTCAGCGGCAAAAAAAACCAAAAAAAAAAACAAGCAATTTGTAACAATGAAAAAGATTCAGGTAGAAGGACATATGGGGAAAGGGTGAGTGCATGTATTTTATTTCTTTACTGTTTATTTTTGAAAACCTAATTTTTTTTGTGTACAGTAGAACCCCTATTAAAGGGACACCTGCAGGACCTACAGAAGTGTCCTCTTAATAGTGGTGTTCCCTGAATAAGGGTTGGCCGTAGGGTAAAAGATTTACTTCCCTAGTTTCGTGGCCGAAAAAAATGTCCCCTTAATAGGGGTGTCCCAAAGGAGGGGTTCTGCTGTAGTTGTAATTTATTATAAACAGTGGTGAATTCAAGGGTGGCCAGACCCCCTATTAAACTTTTCAAATTATAACAAAAAATGGAAAAAAAAAAGAAAAATTTTAATTAAAATGTAAGTCTCCAGCCATTTAGAGGTGCCATAATAATAATTTTCTTACCTCAGCCTCGATCAAGGAGGGGGCTGAGTTGGTGTAGTCCCTCCATTTGTAAAAAGTCTGTCTGCGCAACCAGTTGGAATTCCTGGATCCGCCACTGCTAAGAGATCAAAATATTGATTCTGAATCAGTGAGATGATGACTTAAAAATTTGTCATTTAAAACAATGTGCTTTCTCAAAAACTTCATATAAAGCGACTATGTCTGGGGTTTGAAATCCATTCCCATTTTGAAAAAGAATGCATCTTTTAATCAAAATCTTAATTATTAGTGAGTAATTTTTTTTCAGCCTCAAAATGAAGTAAACTATATTTTCCAACATTATGGGGAATCATCCCTGTTATTGCTTCCATAATGTCCACAATTTAAAAAGGATGGCTAGAGAGGTGTAAAAATATTGTTAAACAGTAATGAAATTACAAATTCCTTGAGCAAGGCACTTTATTTCTGCATTGCTTCTCTCCTCCCAGGAGTAAAAGTAGGTACCTATAGGCGAGACTTTTTTATTCCTTGTTTAGCACTTATTTTTTTTTAAGATCATCGGAGGAGGGCGGAATAAAAATAAAAGTAAAATTTTTTTTACTTATTTAGCAAATAGTTTTGCCAATGATATCCAGACGGAGGAAAAATAATAATAAAATTTTATTGGTGAATGTAAAATGGGATGGTTAAATGTTTCAAATTTATATAATTAGGAAGAAATATACATCTCTTATCTTTGGAGATCAATGCAGCGGAGGGCGTAGTAATATTAAAACAAAACTTTTATTTTTGATGAAATTTCCATTTTTAGTGGCAGCGGGTGAGCTAATTGGCCAAAAATAAAATAAAATTTTTATTGGTAATCATCATCGTTGATGGGTTCACTAAACAAGGTATAAACAAAGTCTTGCCTAAGGATGTTTGAGTGCAAAATGCGCTGATATATATTTCATGCAGCAAACTATGGAATTTTTCCCATAGGCATCGTTCTAATGACTGGGGTAATAATGTGGAGAATCGCTCTGAGGCTTGGGTGTATAGAGCACTATATAAAAAACAGCATATTATTATTATTATTATTTTTATTATTATTACCCCCTCTGTTGTAACAGCTTTTTTGGCAATACAGTACATGCTAAAATGATGGGACAGCCCAGAAATACTAATAGTGATTGCTGGTACTTAGTAATTCCTGGTCCGTCAGTCTGACTGGCTGATGGTGTCTCTATATAAGTGTTAGTCTGGAAATAAATCCTGGCCTTCTCCCTTGGCTGCCAGTGCTAATGCTGCTCCCAAGGCGGCCTTCTCTCCCTCTGCTTGTGGTCCTTCCACGAAAAGAGGTGGGAGATATGTGTGCTATACATGTATGGGCAACTAGTTAGGGTAAGAGTACAGTACTGCACTTGATATCTCTATCTATAGGAATGAGGACGTTCTAGAAATTAATGGACCTACTTCTCGATAAATACTGAATTGTAGTGTACTGGTTACTTCATCTGTGAGTATAATCATTAATAAAATAGTCTGTTGGCTCTCATAAAGAATTTGACGTTTGTGATACCATACTTGTTCTTTTATTTCATCTGTTTAGCAACTTATTGAAAGTCAACGGAATACCACCGTTGCCTTGCCCACTGCGATCGAGGCTCGGATAAGAAAGAGCATTACAACATCAATACCAATGAATCTATGATTTAATTCTTACCTATTTAAAGTCCTCATATTCTGTAGAACCCTCATCTTTGGGACACCCCTGTTGGGATCTCTTTTTTGGCTCTTTTAACATTATGGGCAACCTTATCAGAATAATATTCCATTTGGTTCATAGCCAAACTTGTCATATGTACATTGAATTATAGAATGGTGCACCATCAATTCGATGGCCGCTCCTAAAAACAATAGCATTTTCCAAATAAATTGATTGATGTTTTGTTACTATTGTTCCCAAACCAGTTGATATGTTTTATCTTTTTATTCCATCAGACATTTAATAGGTTTGGTTTGCACGGGTTGAATACTTGAATGTGGACACTGATATACACAGGATCAAATACTTGGCATTCAACCTACAGCGAGACCTCTTCCTGGTGGAATACTACAGTGAATGGTGGGTAATTACATTAAATTGTGGGTCAGTTTTATGGAATGGTATGTTCCTAGATTAATTTGTGAATAATATTAACAATATAATGAATGGATTTAAGCTGTACTTTTGTGGTTAAAGTGCTTGCTTTACATAACCGAGAGGTTCTAGGTTCAATCATGGTAGAAAATGTCAGGAAGTTTCCTTCAACCAAATACAGTAGAAACCCTTAATTATGAACCCCGATTTAACAAATTCCTAAATCTTTCTTTTCAAGTTTCTTTCAAGCTGGTGATTACCTCCCAGTACTACTATAATATAGAGTGATCAATCTTTCTCTGTTTCTGAAGGTCAAATCAGGATAATCTGCCATGCAACTTTCTTGAGAAGCTTCTTGAGTGCAGGCTGAGTGATTGTAAACGTTTATGTCCTGCTACTGCTCTTAGTAGTGTCACTGGAATTCTCATTGTCGACCATACTCATGGAAGAAGCAGTTAAAGAGGCAAAGCTTGTCAAACTAAGGTACGCTCAAATGATTGCTTTTATTTTATTTAGTAATATGCTAATTATAATTGCACAGTTACAAAGCGCTGTTGCATTGGTGGCCTCCCAGTGCTACAAGCAAAATGATAGAAAATGATAGTTTTTGTGAGTGGATTTGAACTACAGGTCTCCCTCTAAATAAAGACCACTTTTGGGACCACAGTTTCCATGATCTTCAGTCTCTAATTAGAAAAATAAAGATGAAAGACATTTGTTAATTTGAGACCACAAAAAAGTGGTCTTCTAATTGGGGAGGTCTTTAATTTGAGGGAGACACATACATCAAAGTGGAAGTATAATGAACTTGCAGGATATTTTCCTAGGGAGGGTGCAGTGACATAATAACAAAGCCCTGCAGTGAACAGTGGAAGGGTCATTCGAAATCAAACCATCCAAATTTTGGGATGTCCCACCTCACACTTCCAATTTTTAAGAAAATAATAAATGGCAATTTTAATATAGAGTCAGTATATCCACCACAAGAGTGTTGCTCATGGCACTTTGTGCAATTTAA